TCGGTTTAAGTCCATTTTGCATGTTTGTTTGCATGCTTAAGTTACATTGTATTGTGTATGTCATGTTGTTGATTACAATGTGCATGCCATGTTACATTGGATTGAGTATGGCATGTTGTTCTTTGCATTGTGTATGCCATGTTGCATTGCATTGAGTGCATGCCATTTGCATTGTGTGTGCATGCCTCACATTGTGTTTAGAATGATTGAGTTGCATTGCATGTTTACATGCTTGAGTTCCATTGCATTTGTTTGGATTAGGTGTTAGTCCAAACACGAGGAACGAGGGACGTTTCATACTTGAAGTGATGAAACGTGCCTCAATTCTCAGTCGCCGACCCTCTTGATCATACATGATAGAGGTCAAGGCTTTATGTGTTATGTGTGCATTTATGGCACATTGATTCGTGCAATCTTGGCTTCTCGGCTATCATGCATCGAGATGCGCGATTGGTCGCCTGAGGGTCGAGAACTACACTCCCTTGAGATCATGAAATGATAGGGAGAGTGGTTGTGCACACATACATTGCAAATACATTGCCATGCCCCTTCTTGTTCTCTGTTGTAGCAAACTGGAAATGTGGTAGCACAACTGGTTGGCCGACCAGAAAAACTAGCTAGCTGACTACTTTTTTTGGTCTGCAGCAAAGAAAAGTGGTCGGCAGGTGGTCTACAACACCAATAACTGGTCGGCAGCCCTCCTGAGGGTCCCCAAAGTGAGTTAGAAGCTATCTGGAGCATTGTGCAAGGTTCTGAGAACAATTGCAAATAGAGGCAAATCGGGGCATCGCGATGGATTTTCGAACGAGGCGACCGAGCATGCATGCACTCTTCATCCCGAGGACCTCTTTTTACTGCTTTCCTTAGCTAGTTTATCCTTTGGTTCTGTACCTAAGTAGTTAATGCATTTAGCTGCTTATTTGTGTTGTAATAACTAGTTAGTTAACTTGTTAGTTAATTAGTTTTGTGATGTAATAATCAGTTTAATTAGCTTAGATTAGCTAGTTAGCTTCTTATTCGGACCCTCCGTCGAGAGGGCCAACTGTTGTAATAAGCGTGCGTGTGTGTGATGCATGTCTTCCAACCCCCATTTCTTTCTCCCTTTTACTTAACCGCTTACGATGGTTAGTTTTAGGGCATATTTCGATTAGCATCCTTATGCTTCGCATGCGTGCATCCATTCATCTGTCTTGCATGCACCGGGCTTGGCGCATCATACAAACTGCATTGTATTTCAATTCCAATTTGAATACATGTACCAAGTTGCATTTCATATGCCATCTTAGAATAGCCGAGTCTATTTTAGTTGCATTTTTATATGTGTTGCATTAGCCATCTTAACGTGAACTAGGATCATGCATGATTTCTAACTAGTTCTCTGTTTTGGCTTGGAGTACACTGTAAGTGTTTACGCTTTAGCATACTCCATAAGATGTGTATGTTGCCATGTTTAGCATGCTTACCATGAGGCTAACTGCTTAAGTGTTTAACTGCCTGAATGCCTGTGGGTGAAGGTTGGATTGCTTGAATTGGAAGAATTCATCAAAATCCATGTCTTAGCCTACTTGCGAGCAGCAAATGTCAAACAGTTTTCAAACAAACAAACATGAAATGTTTTGTTTCATCTTAGGCGATCTAGTCTATACTTGTATGCTGTGCGTATCACATAGTAATTCTAGGTTAATAACCGGAATAAGAACACATATGTTTTCAAAAACAAAATATCATGTTAGTAAAGGCCGATCTTTGATCGGGCGAATGGGGGTGCTCATTGCATGACTTTTCCCTCTCGTACAAGTTCCCGAGCCGAGGCAACTTTGATGATGACGGACACATGACCTTAGGCACAAGTCAGGGTTTCCTAAATTTTTCAAAATAAAACATTTAGGTGGCGACTCTGTATCTGGCAAAGTAGTCTATATTTGGCATTTCTTTATAAAAATCAGTTTTCCAAAACGATTTGCCGGATTTGGACTCTTTGGTGATTTATCAATCTCACATTACACTTTGAGAAATTAGATTCAGAATCGTGACATGAGTCTGAACTGTAGTAGCCTAGAACAAAACGATTCGCGCCCTCACGGCACGGAGAGCGGAGTTCTCGAGGCAGTCTACACTAGGGATATCAATCAACCAGTCATGAAGCCTACGTACCTCCTTTACCTCCCAAACTCTGAGCTGTCTTCTAAACCGTAAATTCCAATCCCCTAAACTATTCCTTCTTTGCCTATACTGCAAAACAGAACCGTCCCTATCTTCTGAGATACAGAACAACCTTGGAAATTCCTCACTAAGCTTGCTATTTATCAGTCCAAAATTTCGTTCTCCCCCATTGCCAACCTTTATTCTTACATTATCAAAATAAAACTCAAGTAATTGAGGATTAACCTGGGTAAGATTAAGGATCCCCTGCCACATTGGAGACACTCTCCTAACATCCCCCAACTCTGGCCACCACCCACCACCAACCCTCCCATAAATATTACAAATCACTGCCTTCCCTAATGCCTTATCCTCTGAGCTAAATCTCTACCATCACTTTAACAGAAAACAAACATTCATATCTACTAAAGGTAAGCAGCTTGTAACTTCTCAATCAACCTAACCACACCCTTAGGCATTTGGAACACCAAAATATAATATAAAGGTAAGCAAGACACAACTAACTTCATCAACATTAATCTCCCTGCAAAAGACAACAACTTTCTCTTCCAAAGAGACAACTTCTTCCGCACTTTGTCAACCACTGGCTGCCAAGTTGACTTCCTTTGGGAATTAGCTCTTAAAGGAAGACCCAAATACACCGTAAGCAACTTCTGATTTTTGGAATTCAACATAGCACTAAAGTTATCTATTTCACTGTCCGAAACACCCACCCCACAAACAATGCTTTTGTGGAAATTGATCTTGAGACCCGACATTATTTCAAAACACCTTAAGACCCTTTTAATGGAAAACAACTCCAAAGCCTCAGCTTCGCAGAAAATAATTGTATCATCTGCAAACTGCAGATATAAGATGTTCATGTTAGTAGATCCCACTGAAGCACCCTTAAACAATCCCAACTGCTTAGCATGACTCAACAGCAAATTAAGACCTCAACCACAATGTTAAATAAGAATGGTGAGAGTGGATCACCCAGCCTCAAACCCTTTTGTGGTGCAAACTCATCAGTGGGTGACCCATTAACCAAAACAGAGATCCTGGAAGAGGTTAAACACTCCTTAATCCGGCTTGTCCACTTCTCATCAAATCTAAGATTACATAGCATTGAAAACAAAAACTCCCAATTTACAAATTCATATGTCTTTTCGAAGTCAAGCTTCAGAATCACACCCTTGTGCTTCGAGCATTTCCACCATTCAATAACTTCATTAGCAATCATGACCCCATCTAATATGCATCGACTCCCTATAAACGCTATCTGAGCCTCATTAATCATTGCAGGGATCGCCTTTTTCAACCTCCTAGATAAAGCCTTGGCCAGAATTTTGTAGATTGAATTCAATAGGCTGATTGGCCTAAAGTCCACCAACTCCACAGCATTTTCCTTCTTAGGTACAAGAGCAATGAGTGAATTGTTTAGACCTTTGGCCAATTTCCCATTTACATAGAACTCCTGCATAAATTGCATAACCTCATCTTTCATGACTTTCCAATTTTTCTGAATACACGTAAGATTGAACCCGTCTGGCCGAGGAGCTTTGTTACCGTCACATTCCGACACAGCAACCCATACCTCTTCCGCTATGAACTCAACTACTAACTCCGCTGAAGCCCCACCCTTACCAATAGTGATACAAGGCCCCTCCAATTTTGGTCTACCTCTCCACACCTCAGAATACAACTCCTTAAAATGCTTAAACACTACTTGTCTTACCATTCTCAGTTCCCCAATACTTACCCCATCTACAACAACAGAATTTAACACATTCTTACTTTGCCTCCTGCTAGCCATCACATGAAAGAATCGCGTGTTTTTGTCCCCCTCTTGAGCCCACTTAAGCCTAGATTTCTAACACCACATCCATTCTTGTCTTCTACTCAAATTCCAAACTCAAGTCCTCAACTCACGTCTTCTAGCATTGACAGTGTCCAGCAGCGACCCTTCTTCAGCTAGCAAATCAATCTCATGTAACTTCTCTTTTGTTGCTTTTAACTGGTGCTCCACATTTCTAAAGACTTCAACATTCCATTTTTTTAAATCCAACTTGAGCTTTGCCAACTTACCTTTCAGTCTATATCCTGCCCACCCAATAACAGTTGCCTCTTCCCAAGACTTCTTAACCAATGGCTTAAAATCAGGGTACAGAAACTAGGCATTTAAAAACCTAAATGGTCTAGGACCCCAATCCCTTCCGTCGTCCATGAGCAATAAAGGACAATGATCAGACAAACTTCTTGGCAATCCCCATTGCTTAAGCCTAAACACTTCCAACCATTCAGGATGCAACACAAACCAATCAATCCTACTCCAGCACTCACCTTTAGCAGAGTTACACCAAGTGAAATTCCTTCCTACCAGGGGCAAATCGACCAACTCCATTTTCTCTATGAAGACATTAAAATCAATAATGCCTTTGCCACGCCGCAGACAACCCTTTCTCTCACTCAAAAATCTAACTTCATTAAAATCCCCCCTATACACCAAGGGAGCCGAAAAGATGACTTCAACCTAAGTAACACATCCCATAACTGACCTCTTTTCCTACCATCATTTGGTGCATATATATTGACGATCACACAATGAAATGACTGATTATACGCACTGCCTGGTGTGGGAATCTGCAATGATGGTGTGTTTGAATCTACAATTGAATTTCCTTAACTGTGTATATACTTAAATTAGCGCATCTTCATCCCTAATTTTATGGAATTTTCTTTGAATTTGTTTTTATTCTAATCTTTATTTTATTTTATATTGTTTTATTTATCTTTCTTTCTTTCGGCTGATCTCACTGTTTTTTTTCTTATAGTAAATATTTGTCCTTAATGGACAGTGGGTAGCATGGCATCGACATTCTTAATGGATGTGGAGAAAATGCATGGTGTATGTATAACAGTATGTCATGTATGAGGCATCTTCTTATAAGAAAATTACTTAATATTGATGCTTATATTTGTCATGCTGATTTTTAATACATTTTCTTCCTATTGTGGCTTGCAGGTTGATTGTGATTCTTCTAATTTTACTCAATTTTTTTTTTTTTGACTCAAATTGTTGTCTATTTGAACTTATTTATTTTGTTTCTATTTTATTTTTTCTTCAATAGATGTAAATATAAATTGAGCAATTGTAATTGGTAATTGAGCAATTGTGATTTTACTTAAATTGTTGTCTATTTGAACTTATTTATTTTGTTTCTATTTTATTTTTTCTTCAATAGATGTAAATATAAATTGAGCAATTGTAATTGGTAATTTTCTATTTTCAAATGATTTGTAATATTTATGTGGCTCTTAGATCAATTATATAGACTTTGAATTTTTTGCATTCTACTGTAAGTTGGTTGTCAAATTGTTTAATGTGAAGATTTATGAGGCTGGAAATAAAAATATCCCAAATTTAATACATTTAATAGACAATTAAAATAATTTTAAAAGCTGAATGCAAAAGAAATAGCGGCGTTTTCTAAAAAGCGTCGCTATAAGTGTATCTGATGTTATCCAAGCTTGTAAGATAGCATTTATTTAAAACATAGCTTGTAAGATAGCATTTATTTAAAATATCACAAAAAAGTATAGGTGGTGTTTATAAACATCACTAAACTTAAGACGACAGCCGCGTCATCGGCGTTCCATACAAACGTAACTAAAATTTTTAACGGCATTTTTTATTGCTTTGGCGGTGTTTTTAAAACATCGCTGAATGTCATTCTTCTTGTAGTGTCAATAACTCACAGACATACATATCCTATAGTTTGAATATGTGTGTGTGTGCAAGAAGAGCATTATTATGCAAGATATAAAGATGACAATTAGGTTGAGTTTAATAGCTAGCCCAGCCATAACAAGGGCATCCACAACCACAACCACAACCACCTCATAAAGAATACCTAGATCTCAATAGCCTCCACAGATGAATCGCTACTATCAACAAGAATCCTCTTCATACGGTCAACTAGATCTTGCATCTGTTCCCTCGAATGCAGCGGTGATGGATACACACACACGCAGTCCAATCTTCCACCCCGTATCGTGTCAAATATGGCGATGGATGGACCTACACTATGAATTGAAGAGCACCCCATGTAGTCCTCTAGCTCAATCTCTTGGTCTTTTGCTTCATCAAATTGATTGATCACAGGGTCCTCGAACACCGAGATTAGGGATGTTCTAAGTGATGATGCAGAGGTCAGGCTAGGGTTTTCGATGACCTTGCACATGAGGAAGTTCGTGTCAGCCATGTCTGAGAAATGCTTGTTGTGTTTCTTAGAATTTGCAAAATCCGTGTAACTCTTGCTTGCCAAGTCCCATAGGCTTTCTCCTCCGTTTACAACGTGCATGTTTAGGATGGCGGAATGGTAAAATCCTGAATCATTGAAATGACATATACTAGCGTAAGAAAATGAAAAAGCAAAAGTCTATGAACTCAGAATTATCGACCATGAATCAAAAAATAGTGTGTGGTTAAAATCTATTGAATATGTTTTTTTCTTTTTTTTTTGGGGGGAGGATTGTAACGCTGCTGCTAAAAACAATGATCACAAACAATAGTTCTTACACAAAAATCATCAAGAATGATGTGACAAATATTATTTTAAAAAATGTGAGGGGGGGGGGGGAATTGTAAGGCTTCTAAAAATAATGATCACAAACAATAGTTCTGGCACAGAAAATCATCAAGAATGATGTGACAAATATTATTTTAAAAATTGTTAGAGATCTCAAAAAATTACTGAAGGCCATTATATAGACTTTTTCATAATTTTTTTTGTTGAGTTCATTGGACTCATTTTGGGGCTCATTTCAACGAAATGTGATAAATATTGTTTTTAAAAAATACTAAAGATCTCAAAAAATTATTAAAATTTTTACACAATATCCATAGGGGCAGGGTAGGGGTCCATTATATAAGTTTTTTTTGTTGAGTTCATGGAACCAACTTTGGGGCTCATTTAAGTGACTTAAACATTAATAACCATATGAGCAGATTACATTTCTATTGTAAAATTATATGGCAATTATGAATATGAAAATAGATCAACAACTTATTTATTTATTTATTTTTGTTTAAAGACAATGTAAAATCTAATTATTTGATTATCGATGTACAATTAACCTGATACTTTCTCTTGATGGGCACTATAAAAATAGTCATTGAATTGGTTGAGATTAACTCACTTAATTGAAGAAGTTTATAATTTTCCTTTTCAAAACATTACACATATCGTGTATTTTCTATTAATTAGGCTAAATTAAGATAAAATCATAAATTTATGGTCAAAATCAAGTCAATTAAGATTGCATGGACTAAAAAAATAAAATGACCAAAATATAAAGACTACGTGTATAATTTGCTCTATAATGTTTTTTTTTTTTTTGGTTTGACGAACTAGTTTTTTGTAGCCAAAAAGTGAGCAATATGGAACACTGCTCAAAGTTTCAAGCCACTCACAGAAAACAGAAGAACTATATATACACACAGACATATATATATATATATAGAGAGAGAGAGAGAGGGACAAAATGGGTTGACTAAGGCCAAGTTTGGCATGATTGAAAAAAGACAAAGTCAAAAAGTCACTATTCTATTTAAGTCACATCATCTTATTTAAGTCACATCACCTCTCTAACACATCACTTCAAACCCAACCCATATTTCATAAAAAGTAAAAAAGTGCACTTATTTAGTCTTGCCAAACTAGGCCGTTCATGGACTTACAATCCTATGTTTGAATGCAAATTTCGTTAACCGAATTACATATACGGCGGACATTTAATCTGATAAAAGTTTAAATTTTTTAATTTTGAAAGAGGTTGAGGATCATAATTTTAAGTATGAAAAAAAAAAATAAGTTCATAATAAATGGTTATCATATTCTAATTCATAAAATTATTAATCCTTTCATTATTAATCATATAAATTAAACAGAGTCTAAAAACACTGTTAGTAACTCATTCTCGTTTAGTCACAAGGACTACATGTATAATTTCCTCTATAATTTTTTTTTTTTTTTGGGTATGAATTGGCAATAGATATGCTTTTTGCTTGATTTTGATGATGATTTACATGATTCTAACAGGGAAGAGCACTCTATTAAATCATCTGTTTGGGACCAACTTTAGGGAGATCCGTTATTACACTGTTTCTAACTCATTCTCTCTCCTTTTTACTTATTTTTTATTATTTAATTATTTTATTTTATTACTCTTTACCCAGCTTTGGTATTGCCTTATTTATGACAGGTAGTCTTGATCAACTGGATGAGAGAGAGAGAGAGAGAGAGTAGTTACCGAAATGGAGAGTTGAAAGGGGAGGCTCAAGAAGTGAACGGCAATCGGTGAGGGTCACCACAGCATATTTCTTCTTCTTCTTCTTGTTATTTTGGGTGTTATTAGAAGAATGAGCTGCCATTAATCCCGCAGCTACTAACACACCGCATAGCTTCATCCCTCTTGATTTACAACCCTGCCAATATTTGTTTCAATATTTTAGGGTTGGTTTTGCATCAAAATATCAATCCGAACACCCGCTAATCAAATAGGTGAATTGGTTAAATATTATGACAATTTTAAACAATCAAGTTGAACAAGTTAAAAATATGGAAGGGAAAAGAATATCACCCAATGTACAACTACTCTCTCCGTCTCAAAATATTAGCCTCCTATTTCATTTTTTATTGTCTTAAAATATTAATTCATTTTCAAAACTTAAGGACTAAAATAATATGAATTGCTTATTTTGTCCTCTTTTAAATTTATTAATTATGACAATTGATGTTTCCAAGAAAAAGTCAAGGATAGTTTTGAAAATTTAATACTTTTGAAGTGTAATAATCGTATTACTAAAAAAATTTAGATTTTTCAAAAGGGACTAATATTTTGGGTCGGAATGAGTAATTTTTGACAATTTTATTAGACAAAATTTCAAATTTTAACACAAAACTTAAAAATGAATCCAATGTATGACGGTATTTAAATCATTTTCTACAAATCAATATAAAAACAAACAATCAATTAAGAAAAATAAAAAAATAAAAAAAAATGGAAGGGAAAAGAACATCACCCAATGTACAACCAATTTTTTCACAATTTTAGACAAAAAATTTCAAATTTTAACACAAAACTTAAAAATGAATCCAATGTATGACGGTATTCAAATCATTTTCTACAAATCAATTAAGAAAAAAAAAAAGAATTGAAAATGAAGAGTCAGTGGCATCTAATTAATGGCATTATGGTTAATGAGAGATTTGTATTTGAAGAAATGCATGTTAATTTTTGGATAAGCATAATGGTAGGTTTTAAACAAATTTCAAATCGTAAGCTATTTGACCTGTGTTTTTTATTATCTAACCCATTCAACTCAACTTGTTCATCTTCTCAAACCGTATGAGCTGGTTTTAGTCGGTGAGAGGTGATGGACTCACAATTTTATCGCACACATTTGATGAAAATCTTAATACCTAAACAACAAATAAAGCAGAAATTTTATTGGTGGATAGAGCGGGAGGGGATTATGGGTGGTGGCGCCCTTGGAAATCCTAGAAGGGTGAAGAAGAAGAAGGGGACGGCAAACTCCTATAGAGAGGAGGGGTCGGAAGCGAGGGGATAAGAGGCAGGAGCCGGCCAAAGATGGCTCTGGCGGTGGAGTGGAATATTGAAACGTTGATTTTTCTTTCTTTTTTTTTTTTTTTCTTTTCTTTCTTTGGAGCAAAACGACATCATATTGATTTATTTCAAGGTGTATTGCAGTATCCTGTACTCTAGAGGGTCCAAATGCGTAATAAAAATATGTGACATCTCTTATTATTTGCTAAAACAACAAAGACATATAGGCTCCGTTTATTTCACCCTAAAACTTTTACCATTTGTTTGCCCTAAATTTTTTTACACTGTAAAATATTTTATGTAAAATGATTTTTCCCAAAAGCAAATTTTTATTTTTGTTTTTGGGTATTTGGTTAGCACTTAAAAAGAAAAAGAATAAGAGAAAATGATATTCATACATAAGTATCACGTAGAATTTATTTATTTATTTTTTTTGATAATTCAGGTATCACGTAGAATTGAACACAAATTATGTAACAATGTCATTCTTACAATTATAAACTATAATAATAAGAATTTTAACTTTCAATAAGTGGATATGAACAGTGATGCTAGGTATCATGAAAAGTCTTTCATGAAAATGATCATGAAAGATTTGTGATCTTTGGACTACACTTAAAATAAAGCACCACACACTAATCAAGGTAGAGAAATGCTAGGGATCATGAAAAAATTTTCATGAAAATGATCATGAAAGACTTGTGACCCTTATATTACCTTGATTAGTGTGTGGTGTTTTATTCTAAGTGTAATCCAAAGGTCACAAATCTTTCATGATCATTTTTATGAAAGACTTTTCATGATACCTACCATTGCTGATCAAGGTAATCTAAGGATCACAGATTTTTCATGATCATTTTTATAAAAAAAAATTTCACGATCACTAACATTTCTCTTATACATAGGTGGATTAAACAAAGACAACTTTGGGTTGGCAGAGGATGTCGATGGTGTGAAAAGCTAGTGGGCAGTGGGCGGATTCATCACATTTGGAAAAGGTGGAGATGAGTTTCTGTAAGGAAGAGATTGCCAAAGGTTTTGAAGATGATGAAGCTAGGAAATTGGCACACGGTGAAGGTTTCTTCCATGGGGATAAAATGGTTGGTGTGGTACTGGTAATAACATGGGATAACATGTTGATGAGTCTTGTGATAACATGTGTTCAAGGATGATAGGTGCATTTAATGGTGATGTATGTACGGTCACAAATGGATGCATGCGTACTACAAAAACTTCTCTTGAAAATTGCAAATGCAATTAAGAGTGCTGCATTGTTTGGACATGAAGGCCTATTTTGGCAATTAGAAAAAAGAAATTAGTTTATTGGCTTATTTTGATCATATCATCTCTTTATTTTTTTTTATACATTTTTAAAATTAAAAAAAACAAAAAAGTTAACTTTTTTTTTTCTACTTTCCAAAATAGGCCGAAGTCGAAGATGTTCTGCCAGAACTTATGAATTTTAAATATAATTCTTAAGAAGGCATTGAAGTAGGTGTTATTCCTTAAATTAGTGGGTCACAACAATTAAAAGGTATAGCTAGATTAATGGGGAAAAAAAGAAAAGAAAAAAAAAAGGCAAATGGGATGGCTGCTGTGCCTCTGGCACAGTAGTTACTGTTGGGCGTCCATGTGAGTCTATTTAGTAATTCATTTTGGTAATTTAAACCGTTCACTTTTTAAAATATATTGAGTAAAATATACTTACAAAAAATTAAATTAATCGAATATCGTTAACTTTTTCATCGACTCTCATTTGTCATTTATTTTTGTAAATACAATTGTGAGTTAATGAAAAGATTAACAATATCTGATCAATTTGATTTTTTACAAGTATATTTTATTCGTACTCTAAAAAGTGAATGGTTAGAATTATCAAAATGAGTCCCGAAATAAGCTCATATAGGCGCACAACAATGACTGTTCTGTCGAGGCACAGCAGCCACCCTGTTTCCATGGAAAAGGACACAACATGTTAAGAGGAAAAAATCATTATCAGATCATGGAAACAGACACAACATGTTAAGAGGAAAAAATCATTATCAGATTTGAAAAGGAAAAAGAGAATTTCAAAGAAGAAGATGGAAAGGAAAGACAAAAATAACAATTTCAAAATTTAATTTTAATCAATTGCTCAACCGTAATATATATATATGTGCGTGTATGTAGAGAGAGAGAGAACAAAAACAAAAACATTCAATATATATGACAGCAATAAGACTTGATATGTACTCAGAGAAATAATGCTACGCATTACTGTTTCGGTACATATCAGTTAGCATTGTTTCATAAGTTGCCATTTAAAGTCTATTTTCACAGAACAGGAAATCAAGACGATGATGACAAATGGTATTGCCCTTGTCCTCTCCCCGTTTTTCTCCCTTTTCTTCTCCCCTGTTTTTGCTTTCGGTAGTGTTCTTAGGTGTTGCAGGTCTGGACCATCTCTCTGCTTTTTACAGCAGACCCTTTCCAGTCTTCGTATTTCCGACTCGCCCCTTGACCTTTAATGGTATTTTCGGCTTGTTTTAGGCTATTTTGAGAAGATGGTTATAATCAGCTTTTTGTGAGAGAGGGAAGTGGGTTATAATCTAGAAGTGGATTATAATCCATTTTCCAGAAGACCCCTTATCTTAGGTTTTTTGTGTTGGTTGTTTTTTAACTCTAGTTCCGTGTGTCTCTAGCTTTTGTGAGTTAGGCTTCTTTCTTTGTTTGTGTTAGCTTTTGTGAGTTAGGCTGCTGGTTATCATCGCCATTACCATCCCTAATTTCTCGGGCACCTGACGAGCAATTGCAAGCACCGAATTCCTCTATTGAGCAGCAGTTACTAGCACCAAATTTTAATCAAACTGTTCATCTTCGTGCGGGTGGCTCTAAATGAATTCGAACTCCAAGACATTGCTTTTCAGGTTCAGATGTTTTGACCACTACAAATGACTTCCTTAAGTTCCACGCCCCAGATCTTGGCAAACGCAAGAGACAGTCAAGGATTGAAGATAGCTTCAACAACCCAAGTCTTTTCTGACCAGCCTGGCACCGAGCTTTTCGAATCAATAGCTCGGGTTGTGCTAACATGTTTGTGTGTGTTCTTGTTATCCTCGCAGGGTTGTGATGTTGTTGCGTGCAGGTTTCTGATTGAGGTGTTGCTAGTAGCAATCTTGGCTTTTAAGTTGTGCATTTGTTTTTGGTTGCCCATGTCTTGCTAGTTGCTTGGTTTCTGGAGTTTGTGGTGTATGTTGTGTTTGTTTTGTTGCTTTCTAATGTTGCTAACTATGCTGTTTGTGTTTATTATGTTAATGCAAGTCAACCTTTTCAAAAATATAAATAACTAAATAAAACAAACGGTATTGCCACCATTATAAATGATAGCAAGCACCTCAAAACCCTGTTCTACCAAGAAAAAGAAAGTCCAACTCCCAACAATGATCCCAAAAAAAAAAAAAAACATTTATAAAGTCCCAAAAACAAATGAGACATAAAAATAATAAAAAAAAAATTGTACTGTACTGAAAATAAACTTTAAATGCTAACTTACGAAACAATATGGGGTCACTGCCCTGTCAACAACATAGCAGTGATTGTTGTGTTCTTCATGGCATCTATTTTAAGTCTTATTTTGATGATTTAAACTGTTTAGCTTTTAAAAATATCAAGTAAAATATATCTGTCAAAAATTAAATTGATCAGACATTAATTATACCTTCATCAAATCACATTTGCTTTTAGTTTTACAGTTACAATCATATATATTTACAATTCATTTTTTATAATGTGATTTGATGAAGGTATTATTAATATCCGATCAATTTAATTTTTTATAAATATATTTTATTAGATATTTAAAAAAAAATTAACGATTCAAATTATTAAAATAGAATCCAAAACAGTCCACGAGGCGCACAGTCATTGCTGTGCTGTGGGCACAGCAGTGACCCCAAGGAACCTATCCTATCTCATTGGGTCACATGGTGTTTTCTGTATGTAGACTAACATGATAAGAGCTTTCATATTTCCATATGAATTGATGTAATCCCTTATGTATTATTGATCATATATTATTTAAGTAAAAATATTGTGAATTCCAAAACGTCTCTTTTAATCTATTTATAATTATATGACAAATTATATATTAATTTTTAATTTATTATAAATTTAATCATGTAAGGCCTAATTTACTTGTTATGTTATTGTGAGTTAATTGTGAATTCTAAATTGTAGTATTGGTTGTAAGAAAATAAGTGATACTTGGATATTCAGTAACAGTCATGCTAGATATCATGAAAAACCTTTTATGAAAATAATCATGAAAGGTTTGTGACCTTTGGATTACACTTAGAATAAAGCACCACACACTAATCAAGGTAATCCAATTATCATAATTCTTTCATGATCATTTTCATGAAAAAAATTTCATGATCCCTAACTTTTCTCATTCAGTAATGTTTGGACACATGTTTTTAGTGAGATTTTTAGTGCAACTAGCATTGCTCTATTAATTTTAACAATACTCATTAAAATCTGTATAATTGTTTTGTGTATATTAATATGTCTCCCTCTTTTTTTTTTTTTTTTAGACAAAAATATGTTTCACTGTTCGAGCAATACAATTGCAGAATATTGAAAATCAAAGTCAAGAGGTAATTCAACTATTAAGCTACTTAATTCATCGCCTAAGGAAATACCCCCACAGTGTTCTAACATGAAAATGAAAGACAGTAACCATACTATTGAGTTTTTTTACCAGTCCATGTGATTTTGAAACAAAATTTTCATTTTCAAATATTTTTCAATTTATTTCTTAAATATACCTTTTCAAAACGTGTATTAAAAGAATATAATATGAAGTTATTTTTAAAAACAATAATATTAAAATAAATTGGATGTCAAAGTTGGATGTTTATGTCATGATGGTGCAATTCTATTTACCCATAAGATAATAGTTTTAAATAATTTCGGAATACTTAAGTTTGAATTTATAATATTTAAAAAAAAAAAAATCATGTCCAGAAAATGAACTTTCAATGCTAAAAAATATACTTACATTGAGTATCTGATCAGTTTCACGTGCGGTCAACTGTAGTCTCACCACCTTAGAACACCTAGCTCCCTTAACATCTTCAAACTTCAAATTTGTAGACCTGAGTGAATTGAGTGAGTAACTCAACATGTCCAACCCATGTGCCCAAATAGGCTTCTTAGCCTTCCCACTAGGAATAAGATCTTCAATTCCCAAACTAACCTCCCCTCCACTCACCATTTCCATCTGTGTCCCTCCTCCACCCTCTCCCTCCATCATCAACCCCTTCAGCTCTCTCAGCAACCCCACCGCGGTGGTTAAGTCACATACCACCGTGTGAAGCCTAAGCACGACAACCCATTTTGCATCTGGAAGCTCGTATAAGCTAGCAAAGAACAAGTCAATGCCGGTGCATGATAAGTTGCTAGGGTTATTGGACCAAACGTTGTTGTTGAGTTCGTGTTCGAGGATTATGTGGAGGGGCGAGAAAGAGGTAGTGGTGGATACGTTGCGGAGGAGATGGGTGGTGGATGAGAGATTAAATGATTTGATTTGGATGGGAGGGGTGGTGGTGGGGGTGGGGGTGGTGAATGAGAATGTGTTGGTGGTGGTGCTGTGGAAGAGCTTGGACAGGAGGATTGGGTGGGAATTCTGGAGTTTGTGGAGGGCATTTTGGAGAAGTGAGGTGTTTGGGGGTTTTGTGAATTGGAGTGCCAAAACTGTAATGCCAGTGCCACCTGACACAGCTCTGCACCAACTATGCTCGGTGCCGCCCACTGGCCGACCCTTGGGCTGAAACCATTGTGGGTTCTGGTTCTGATCAGCCATGAGAGAGAGAGAGAGAGAGAGAGAGAGGAACAAGGACTAGGGCATGCAGTGAGAATGTATGTGTTGGGTTTCATTCATGTTGGTAATACTTATACTGCTTTGGATGGCGTTGGTTACAACCCATGAACACTTTTTTTTAATGAGGTGTCGAACTGTAAAAAGAAAAATACATGTACACATGCACTTGTATTGGGATGCTTTCCATTAGTGGAATGGAGATGCCCATTTCGTGGTGTCATCTGCTAATCAAAAATCATAAATGGGGGTTGGAATTTTTTTTTTTTTAAATTATGTTAATTTTTTAATATTTTTTTAGATTTGATTTGATAATATATTAGTTTTTTAGTTTATTTAAGTTATTTAGGCATAATTGTGGAAACATCATTTTCTCATTAATATTGATATTACATACAACCTATATTTCTAGACAGATAGCTAATGTTGAGCTAAGCAGGTAACTAACGCCTAACAATTTAACTACCTCCTAACTCCTATATAGATAGCTAACCGATTCCTAACTAATTACATGATGCATATGCAGCTGAAGCTGAAGCTGCTGAAGTTGTGGCTAATGCTTCTGAACTAATATCCTTATCACCATCGTGCAAGCTGATAGGAGAGGGAGAGGCCAGAAGCTTGACTTTAAGATAATTAAATCGAGAAAGGCTTTGTAAAGATATCAACAATTTGATCAAAAGAAAAAACATATTTGGGAAGGAGTTGTTTAGTAGCAATCTTTTCACGAATGAAGTAACAGTCCACTTCAATATGTTTAGAACGGGTGTGAAACATAGGGTTGGATGCCAAGGCAATAGCAAAAAGATTATCACACCAAAGAATAGGAGGAATGGAAGAGTGAAGTTGAAGTTCACAGAGCAACATGGTTAACCAAGTAAGTTCAGCAGTTGTGTGGGCGAGAGAGCGATATTCAACTTCGGTTGAGGAGAGTAAGACAGTTGGTTGCTTTTTAGCAGACCAAGAAATGAGATTAGTGTTATCCCCACAGTGGTGTGTGTGTGTAAATTAAATGTATAAATTAAATATATAATAAAATAAAATAATTCAAAAAATAATTATATAAATTATTTTTCCAGATTAAATGCTTATAAAAATTAATGTTGAGGCTTGTGTTGGACACAATCTCTTTAAAATAGATTTCGCCCTCGCTTCGGTGCTTCGAGTTTTAATCGGCGTCTACTTCCCAGGATGTAACGACTAACACTTAAATTTGCAGCACTACAAATTCAAGCTTGGCAAACCAAAACTCTGTTGTAACTCTCTCTTTTTGTTCCTAAAACATAAATGCAGAAGCAGATGCAAGAGCACAGGAAGAACAAACGAAGGAGGACAAAATTCTAAGGAAAAATTGAATTAAATGAATTACTGGAAGCAGCCTCTATATAGGCAGATTGGTGGCTGTTCGAACAGGTCCCAACAGATAAGCAATTGTTCGGACATATTTCAACAGATAAAAAATCTGTTTGGATTGTTTGGACAGTTCCAGATCTGTCTGGGAAGGATTCAACAGGTTCAAACCTGTTCGGGTGGTTTAGGAACTGTTTGGGTGAAGGAAAAAATTTTGGACCAATTTATTTTGAATTTTGAAACCAAAATTAAAAATAAATAAATAAATTACAAATGTTTTTAGTCCAAAAAGATAAGTATTGAGTCAGACAAGCCCAATCCAACCTCACACCATGCACCCGCGCCCAAGCCCAGCCCAGTCTAGCCCACCAGACTAACCGGACGGACAGCGACGAGCGCGTGTGGTTTTGGTTTTGGATCCAATGGGTCTAACCTACTTCACCCATAATCTCACCCTTCCACAAACTTGGGTAGCCTTTGGCGCCCATCCCAAGTATCCCAAGTTAAGGTATATAAACCCCTTAAAAACCTTAAGCCTTTCCAATATGGGACAAACACATTTCATAAATATGTAGGAAACCCACCTAAATCTATTTTCACAAACCCAAAATGCACGTTAAATTCTCATTCATCCGGAAATGGTTTTTAAGCAACCAAATACACGATTTTATTCACTACGCGACATTAAACATGAACTCAATTAGAAACGTTAGAAATAATGCTTGGTTCCCACCTTAAGTAATGCTCAAAATTAGCAAAAAAATAAGATTTTTTTCAATAGCTTTCAAAGCCATTTTCCAACAATTAGAACCAAGATACACATAGTAGCCTGAAGAACTCCGACGATCTAGAACATCACCAGCCCAGTTGGAGTCAAAGAAGGCCTATAGTTAAAAAGAACCAGGACTTAAAGTGAGATCGTGAGATAAAGTCCCTTTAACAAAACGTAACGGTCTTTTGACGGCAACAAAATGTGCAATAATGGAAGTATGTATGTGTTGACAAGCTTGGTTAAAAGAGAAATATGAGTCAAGCCTGGTGATAGTAACGTACTGAAGGGCACCAAAAATACTGCGATAAAGCTTAGGTTGATCGAAGAGAAGAGTAGAGTTTGGAGCAAGAGAAGGCTTAACCGAAATAGGGGAATTGCAAGGCTTGCAAGTAGTCATACCAACCTTAATGAGGATATTAGAAGCATATTTGTGTTGAGATAAAAAATAGGAATCACTATAAGCTTGAGTAAAGATACCCAAAAAATAGGAAATGTCCCCTAGCTTCTTCATGGCAAAGGCAGTATGCATTTGAACAAGAAGAGACTGAATATGAGAAGGGCTATTACCAATAACTAAGATGTCACCAACATAGACACGAAGAAGAGCAATGGTGGAAAAAGTCCTTTGAATGACTAAGGAATTATCACACTGATTGTTAAAAAAACCCTGAGACAGTAAAAAACTGGAGAAAGTAGAATACCAAGCTTGAGGAGCCTGCTTTAAACTATAGAAAGCCTTCTTCAAGAGACAAACATGATTGTGATGAGATGTACTAGTGAAGCTTGGAGGCTGTGTTATGTAGACTTTTTCTTCCAAGGTATCATGAAGAAAAGCACTACTAATATCCAGTTGCTTGAGAGGCCAGTGATAATGCAGAGCAACACACAATAAGATTCGAATGGTAGGTTATTTGGCGACAGGGCTAAGGGTTTCAGTATAGTCAATACCCTCTTGTTGGAGAAACCCTTTTGCAATCAAACGAGCCTTATAACGTGCAATAGAACCATCAGAATTGCGCTTAATGCGGAAAACCCATTTGCAGCCTATGGCAGATTTAGAAGAAGGCAAGATAACCAAAGACCAAGTGCCTTGGGCAAGAAGAGCATTGTATTCTTCCAACATGGCAGTGTGCCATACGGGGGGATTTAGAGCTTGCTGATAAGTGCATGGCTCAGTGTTAGAAAATAAGGATGAAGAGCAAGAGAAAAGGCCATGAAGACTTGATAATGAGCTTTAGATCGAGTAATCATAAAGTGACAATTAGTAGAAGGATAAGGAAGAGGTAAATCAATAAAAATGAAAGAAATAGGAGTAGGAGTAGGAGTAGGAGAAGAAATAGGTCCTTGTGGCAGAGAAATAGGGACAGATTGAGGCCACTCAGATTGGACAGATTGAGACAGCTTAGGCTGTAAAGACACAGTAGACTGCAAGGGCACAGTGGGCTGCAGTGGCACAATATCTTCCACCAGTCACAAATGTACATATCCCATATTATTTCCCAAACACCTAACATAAATATAGTAGACCTTACTATTAAAGCCAATTATAATAATAGAAAGTACCACATTATATATACTGTATATAAAAATTCCTTGTAGAATGGAGATGCCCATTTTATGGTGTCATCCGCTAATCAAAAATCATAAATGGGGCTGGAATTTATTATTATTTTTTTTAAATTATGTTAAGTTTTTTTTTTTTTTTCACATTATACTCCTTCCATAACAAAATAATAAATTTAACTTTTTTTAATAATATAATTATTATATTTTAAAAATATTAATTTTTTAAATTATCTTTTCATAATACATTTTTTTAAGGATTAATTACACTAATAGTCCTTATAGTTTGAGATTTGTATCACTTTGGTTCCTGACTTTTCAATTGTGACACATTTAATCATAAATTTTAAATTTTGTTTCAAATAAGGACAATTGAAAATATCATTAGATTTTTCAAGGGTAAAATCGTCAATTTGATAAAATATAAACTAATTTGACAAAAATAAATATCAAAAAAATATTTTTAATTTTTTAAAAATTATTTTTATCCACCAATGATAAAATCATGTAAAATTAATAAAAATTACATGATTAATTTTTTTGTTTACATGATCATCATCCAAACATATAATAAAAATTAATTTGATAAAAAAAATGTCAAAATTTATCAATTTTACATAATTTTATTTTTAGTGGGTAGAAATAATTTTTAAAAATTCAAAAATATTTGTTTGACATTTATTTTTGTCAAATTAGTTTATATTTTATCAAATTGACAATTTTACCCTTGAAAAATCTAATGATATCTTTAATTGTCCTTATTTAGAATAAGATTCTAAGATTCAAAATTTAGGGTCAAATGTGTCACAATTGAAAAGTCAGGGACCAAAATGACACAAGCCTCAAACTATAGGGACTATTTGTGTAATTTTCCATTATATATATATATATATATTTTAGATTTGTTTTGATAATAATTAGTTTTTTAATTTATTTAAGTTATTTATGCATAATAATTTATAATTAGAAGTTGTTTCAAATAATCTGACACATACTTTGAAATTAAAATAAGGCTTTGTTTGGCAATCATGGTTGGGACTGAAAAACACAAAAAAAACAAAAAACAAAATAAGTTAAATATGCCAATAAGACAAAATGTCATACCAAATTATAATAAATTCACTTTTTTTTTCTCATAAAAGTTAAAAAAAAAACCAAAAAACCAAAAACCCCAATCCAAACAAACTTTTTAATCCCAAACTTAAAAAAATCTCAACTAAAAAACGCCAATCAAAAAAGTCCTAGCCAAATGACAACCAAGTTATAACTAATTCATTTAAGTTAGAGTTTGACTTTTCTTAAGTTAATATCTCAATTAAAACAGTCCATCTAAACAAATTATATCAAACAATCCATATAGTCTCAAAT